TATTATTATTATTATTATTATTATTATTATTATTATTATTATTATTATTATTATTATTATTATTATTATTATTATTATTATTATTATTATAATATATATAATTTTTTTTTCGGTGATTTCTATACGTTGTATTTATTTTTCTTTTTCTTCTTCTTCTTCTTTTTTTTTTTTGTTCATTTTTAATTTCTTTTCCTTTTTTTTTCTTCTTTTTTACTTTTGTTCTTCCACCCCCCCCCCACCTTCTCATTAAACTTTTGTCATGTCACTTACTTTTTCTCATAACCTTTTTAACTATAATAATTTAGAATTATGCACAGGCCATACATTCCACATATACATGTATATACGTACAAGTACCTAATCTCTCGTATTACAATACTTTTTACTTATGTCGGATGAAGTTTTGTGTATATTGTAAAACTCCATATAATTGACAGTTAGTTGAAGTGTTCCAAAGTCAGTCACTCAAGGTACAAGTTTTATATACTACAATAAAGTATGTAATTCTTTCTTTTTTTTTTTATATAACATATATATATATATATATATATGTTATAAGACAAAAATAGGCACACGCATTCCTAAAAGTATATACATACATCGGGCGCTATTTATTTATAATATAAATACGTAGCTGGGTGAGCAAAAAATGTACTTCGTTATCTGATCTAATGATCCTCGCTTTTTTAATGTCGACAAAAAAATTTTATATATATATATATATATATATATATATATATATATATATATATATATATATGTATGTGTTTGGGAGCGCGGGTGTATTTCTTTTATTTATTTGTTTTTATTTTATTTTTTCTGTCCTTTTTTTCTTTCTTTTTTTTCTTTTTTTTTTTTTCTTTCTTTTTTTTTTCTTTTTGCATAAATAATTTTATCGGCAACTCAACTTATACGGAAAACTCAAAATATAATACCTTTGAAATGCTTTTTCATTTCGTCCTGTTCTCACTTTTTTCTCTCCTTTTATTTTTTAAATTAGTTTCAATGATTTACCTTTCGTTTGTTTGAAAAAGGAAAAGAAAAATAAAAAGAAAAAAGAAAAAAAAAAGAAGAAACGAGAAGAAAGGAAAAAAACAGATAAAATATGTGACATTGATAAGCAAGAAAATTATGCTTTAGTGTTTTAGCTTTTTTTTTATTTTTTTTATTTTTTTTTTATAAACGGAATGAAAAATGATAATTAAATTTTTTTCGTTAGATGAAACATACCTATGAATTATATTTTTGAATAATGAAACATACAATCCCGTCAACCTACAAATTTGCGTTTTTCAGTTTAATCAAATATAATACTTATGAGTACGTATGTATTCATATACGTATATATCTATGTATGCACGTATTTACGTATGCATATACCAATGTATTTATATGATCGCAGCAAGCAAGCGAACAAGCAAGCGAGAAAGCAAGCAAGTAAGCAGAAAAAAAAAATAAGATATAAGCGAGAGATTATAATTATTTTCAGAAAAAAAAAAAAAAAAAAAAAAAAACACACATATATAAAAATTTTTATAAATTAAAAAAAATGTTATATACAGTGACGTCTCACGTTTTAAACGATCTTCGATCTAATCGATTTTTATAAATGAACGCTCGAAATTTCGAAAAGCGTGTAGTAATATGTGATATAATATTTATTGAAGTTATTTCATTAGACGATACTTTGTTATCAATATACGGGAAGTCATGATATTTTTTTTCTTTTTTTTTTTTTCTTCATGAAAATCGTTATTTTAAAACGAACAAAAGTTGTATTAATCCAATGAATACCTATCTCTGTGTATACACCGATTCTCATCGATATTTCATCGAGTTATAGTGCTTAGTAGTTTAACAAACTGTATATAATCACAATATACATATACATATATATATATATATATATATATATGTATATGTATACATATATAACAGCTGGCGTTCTATAAAAGAGCTGCGATAAATATTATATTTATTTTTTGCCACTCATCAAAAGCTAGCAACTTTTATTCGAAACAATTGTTCACAAGGTCGATAAAATTTTAGGAGAGAGATTCGTATCGTTTAAATTGAAACACCCCGTATATTAATACTCGTTATATCGATTTCATTAATTCTTTCATTATATATCACGTAAGTATATTAATTAAATATTTACTTGACAAATTTATAAAAACTTAGAGGTGAAAAAGCTTTTTTTTTTTTGTTTTTTTCAATTTCATTGATTTATTTATATTCATTCATCTATTTATTTATTTATTTATGTTTTTTTTTTTTTTTTTTTTTTTTTTTATTTATATTTGTTCTCGGTATATTTTCTTCGTTCGATTGTTCCAATGTATTACTCGATAATTATTTTTCATTTTAATAAAATTCACGTAAATTTCCTTAATTAAATTTTATCCGATAAATTCGTTGAAAAACATAGGGATGAAAAAAAAAAAAAAAAAAAAGAAAAAAAAGAAAAAAAAAGGTAGAGAACAAAAACTCTTGTTCCTTTCGAGAATCTTCTTTGTTCTTTATTCATTTATATTTTCCATTTGGATTATTCCGACGACAACTTTCAAAAATAATTAGATCAAATCTGATAATAATTTTCATAACAATGTACCGCGTCATAATTAAGGTGAAAGAAGAAAAAGCTGTATGTATATAAAAAAAAAAAAAAAAAAAGAAAAAAAAATAAATAAATAAACAAAACGAAAAAAAAAAATATAATAATAATAATAATGAAAATGATTAATTGCACGCGAAAGCATTTCACTGGCGTGCATTTTTTTTTAGGCAGAAATTATTCTTTGAAGTGTCCAAAAAAGAAGGAAAAAAAAAAA